CCTTTCCATAATGAACTCTCTGTTGCTTGGTTCGCTCACCAAATGAGCGCAAGTTGGGGATGACCCCGTGTTGTCAATGTCAACTGCATGCAGGCCTACGACATGTGAATTTATTTATTGGCTCCCTACCAATATCCTCACGAGGAAAGCTAATCCTAACAGGGGTTAAAGAAATGTTATCATTTACATCGTTTTGTTGGGAAATATAGGGTAACCTATACTCAACTGGCGACGTAGCGCTACCCCCAGTGATAACCTTGTGAGCTCCACGTTGTTTCTTGCGTGGCGGGACGGTGACGGTAGCTTGCAAACGACTATTCTCGCCAACCTCAGCCTGTTTCTTCTTAGAAACCCTTCTCCTCTTAGTCCCGGCTCCTCTTCCAGACATTCTGAAACTGCAATTAATAAATGAATCTTTTGCTGCGGGAAAGAAAATTGAATTGGAGTCTGCGGGAATTTGAAACCGTGTTGCGTGGGTATCAAGCGCGAAAGAGAGGCTGAGAAAGGGGGGATAACTCGGGATTTACTATCTTAGGGAATAGCAAGGTGTAAGGGAGGTAATAGGATGGGAAAATCACTGAAGCGCCATAAAATATTTTATCATCCATTAAATTTGATAAAATTTCTTATCCCATATATTCTATTTTAGTGTTAAATGTGACCACTTTTCAAAGGCATTGTGAAATCTTAGCTTCAGGGCCAATGAAGCCTTGCCAATTTACTCTTGTCAGAGAAGTACACAAAGCATACATTTGTCACACATTTGAGACTGTGGGTTCGAATCCCAGAGGGGACTCAAGACAACAATCTGTTAGAACCTGGACTTGACTGAGAAAGTGTACCAATTTCTAAAAGGCATTATGTATTAGGTATCTGGGTCGAATGGGCCAGTAAACTCACAGATTTGCCGACATATGTGCTTAGATAAGTCAACACCATATCCCTATTCGTAGAAAACCTCGTACAACTACATACCTTCGGAACTTCCTCCCACATTGATGTGTATGCCGTTAAGTAGCTCAAATACTGTTTAATGTTAAATTTAGCCAATCTCGTTGCATGTATATTGTAACTCAAACACTAGGCGGGTTGGTGTATAATAAGGTATGGCAAATCTGTTCTCTAGATGGAGAGCATTTCTACCACCAAAGGACTATGTATAATAATTTTTAGGTTACTGCGATGTAGATGGTCTGATGGGGTTGGGGGGTGGGGTGTCTTAGACCGTCTTGTAGCTGAAGAACAATTGTAATACCCACGAATGTGTAGGAATTTGTGCATAACAGGTTCTGGTTTATTGCACTGGCGATGTTCCCATGTGGATATGTTTGCTCTTCCCGAGCTGAAGAGCAAGAGTAATGCCCACAAAAGTGTACAATTGTATGTGTTTCATTCGTGTTCCAGTGGAGATTCTCAAACTATTCTGTACCTGGAATTCCACAAGAATATCTACAGGGAACATTGTAATTATAGTTACATATATTAAACCAGCTGATGATATAAATACAGTTGGACGTGTCCTCATTTACTCACCACCTGATACAGCACCAACCAATTGTAATTGGGCAGTTCAATGGTCACAGTTGCGGTGCTCACCGAACCAGAATCCTTAGGAGAGAGCTCAGACGGAGGCAGTCGTTGATGTCGATTGTGTTGTTGAAAACAGCCAGCACGGGTATGGACTTTCAGAAGACTACGTCTCTATATGCCATTTGGGATGAATAGGAACGTCTAGCACAAGCATTGGAATAGTAGCCGTGGCGCCGATAAAAAGTATGTTCACTGGTGTTTGGATTTGTTAGGAGAAAAAACTCCAGCTCTATTACACATTAATGCCACTTTACACACTCACTAGTATTCTAGATTGCAGAGTCAAGATATACAGATTTGATTTAGTGGCCACCATCAAACTTTCTGTCACATTAACAGTGTCACATTAAAAATACGTTTCGGAATTTTAAGCAGTGCAAAATATTCACGTTTTTCACGACTTTATTAGGGGAATATTTCTGAATAACCTTTCATTTAAACAATCCATGTGCAAAATATTCTATCTGGATTCCATAAAACGCAATGAAGTTGAAACAATTTAAATAGTCATGTCACAGCAGACGTCTCGATTGTCCCAAACGCATTCTGAGCCCCATTGTGTGATTGCACAGCAGATGAAACACAAGTGGTACATTGGTATAATATCTGGTCACAAGGTGTTGCTTCAGTAAATGGAAACACGATTCATCAAGGGTATGAACAGGATTCGCTAAACCTAGAAAAACGCCTGTCTCAAAAAATGAATGTGAAAAAAATAGAGTATTTAGGTGAACAAGGTTTACTGTTTAGTTTGTGTTTGCAATTGGGGGAACTTCGAAAGCCACTAATAAAATGTGAGTTGAAGGTGATATGGGGCGTAACATCACGTTGAATATTTTTGCACTCTTATATCTATGTGTATGCGTAGATTTGTGTGTGTGTTTGTGTTTGGGATGTGAGGGTGTGTGTGCGTTGGTTCCGTTTGTGTACATGCATTGGAGCACGTGCGTCTTTGTGCCTTCTCGAAGTACGAATTTCTTGTAGAATTGGCGTACAATTACATGTATATTCACAAGCAGATACACGTCACAATGAAACACGTAATAATAGTTATTGAAACAACAACCGCCAGATGAAATAGCATCTAGACAAGACGATACCCGTGTCCTTTGAAGAACAGCGTAAATCAATATAATCTTAGTAGTTGCTGTCAGTCTGGAAGTTAGAAAACACACTATTGATCTTTTCCGACTTGTAACTAAAGCTATAAGTGTTCTCGGAACGAAGATCCCCTCAGCAAATCCCCAAACCAGAGCAGCATTGTCCGAACAAGGGTTAAACTGAATTCATCTTCAAATGAAAAGAAATCCTTGATCAGGCAGATTGTACCTCAGTGACATAATACATACGATGTTTGGGCCCTAGCGTCATTAAAGCATCTGGGTATTTTGTCTCAAATCAATGCAAGGGACAAATTCATGGAACTCTACAAATCAATGAAAATTAAGCCCTAGCTCCTCATGAAAACACAATTCATCGAGGTTCAGAAAACAACTTTGTGTTTTCTGTAATAGCATCAGTCAGCTTTGGCATGCTGCTTTACGTCAACATCGACGCGGTTTGGATGTTTGTCCCTTGGATGTTGTTTACGACGTCATCAACGGCGATGTTTGTATGTCCCTTTCCTTCACATTTTATGTATCCATATCCGTAGCAAATTTAGACCGTATAATATTCTCTTGCAAGAAAGTTACTTTGGAAACTCAATATTTTGAAAGTTAAAGCGAAAAGCTGGAATAGGTATTTCCAGACTACGTTGGCCAACATTTGTGAGTTTAAACGAGTTTGTTAATGAGTGTTGTCTATGTCAGCAGTTCCTTGCTAACATCACAGGGCAAACGTAGTTCCAGACAGACTTGGTTTTGGATAAATAGCTACTGTTAAAAGATATCTGTTTGGTTTAGTCTCAAACTCAAATAGAGGACTGGCGTATTTGGGAAACAGAAAACAGCCACTGATTACAACATAATCGCATGGGTATAATCACAGATATGTTAAACACAGATAGAATATCAACCATGCAGTTTCTACTCAATGACAGTCACCAGTGTATTAGTCAGACGTATTTGCTGCCCAAATGTAAGAACAAAAGGTTATTGATACAACATGCACAGGCACAAATGTATGAATCACACATGTATTGATCACACATGCATGAGACCATTATGAGGGCCACACGCGAATTGATTACGCATGCACGTGGACAAATATAAGAATCACGAGTGTATCAAGTAACAATGCATAACTACTCTACTTGTGCTCTTCGTGAATGTAAGACAACCATCAATACATCTCAAATAATACATCTTAATTTGCTATAGCTGAAATCTCTCTAAATAAATCAATTCTCTGATTATTTCTTTTCAGGCAAGTGATTTGTTTTGCGAAATATACACATGTGGTCCGCCACGGTACACGTTTAATGATTTTTCCTTTGTTACCTTAGATGTTTTTTTATTAACTGCCATATATGGACAGTTTAAAAACATTCTCAAGAAAGTATTAAGATAGTTTGGGAATAAAGTTCCACTGCGATCAGAGATACAACGCCTTTGCAAATAAGACCTAGCTATTCAGAAATGCTGCCTATCATTGTGTCGCTCTTATTGATGCAGTTCTGGTGTCCAGTCTATAATTAAACAATACAAGTAACAGACCGCCGTTGTACAGCTGTTATATTGTCAAGTGCGGCTTTAAACAAGAAACAAACAGATTGATTACGCATGCACGTGGACAAATATAAGAATCACGAGTAGGTTTGAGTTAGTCTTTGTGTTATTGGTGTAGCAGGCCATGCACTATATGTCATTTTACTTATCAGATGTGATCTATTTTATATAGTTTCTGAGCTGGATGAAAAAGACGAGGAATATATCCCAGATGAGGATTCTGAAGCATCTGAAGCATCTGAAGGACTGGAATGTGTGCCAGATTCATCTGGTGATGAGGGTGTATCAGATGTTGAATCACAATCAGTACTAATCACAACAGAAAGAACAAAGCAGACACTTGTTCAGACATGCATCAAAATCAGCGGCAAACGTGAAGCAAAGATGCATTGTTGCCTGTTTTGTAATAAGTATTACTCAAAGATGCCCCGCCATATGGAGCAGGTTCATTGTAATGAACCCAGGGTAGCAAGGGTGTTGTGCCTCACCAAAAAGTGCAGAGAGAGAAAAGATGCTTGGGCAGTTCTCCTTAGAGAAGGTGATTTTTGTCACAATTATGATGTTTTCAGCAAAGAACAGGGTGTTCTACTTCCAAAGTACAGGTCCAGAGAAGGCGAGAACAAATATGTTAACAACTATCTGCCCTGTGAGTTTTGCAGGGCATTTGTTGTTAAAACATCTCTTCGTAAACACCAGAAGACCTGCAGCCAATTCCAAAATAAGCAAATTTTCGGCTCAACCATGAAAAATTCAAGACAGTTGTTGCCTGTGAAGAATCAAAGTGACTTTCAGAGAAATATCCTGGACAGAATGAGGGAGGACTCTGTCACTCACATAGTGAAGCAGCACTTCCTCATTCTGCTCTATGGACAAAGACAGTACGAAAAAGTTGGAGGACAGCAGCATAACTGGCAGTACATATCACAAAAAATGAAAGAACTTGGTCGTTTTTTTATCTCTTTGAGTGATGCCAACAGTGATGTTAAATCACTAACTCAGTGTTTTTCCCCACAAATGTTTGATGCGGTTATAACATCAGGTAGAAATGTTGCTGGCTATGACAGCAAGGTGCACACATTTGCCACGCCTTCGCTGGCCCTGAAGCTGGGCTACAGCCTGCAGAAATGCTGTGGTATTTTACGGAATTCAGCCACACGAAATGCGGATGAGGATTTGAAGAGAAAAGCCACTGACTTCCTTGAGCTATACAAAGATGAATGGACAGAGAGAGTTTCTGTCCATGCACATGGAACATTGAGTACGGCCAAGTACAACAGGCCACAAATGTTGCCACTAGTGGAAGATGTTGTTCTCTTGCACAAATATTTAGAGAAGGCCTCTGAACTTTGCAAGGACTGGGATGATGAATCCAGATACTTGGAGTTTGGCAAGATCTGTCTGTGCCAGATAATACTCTGTAACAGGAAACGAAGTGGTGAAGCGCAACGGCTGAAAATATCAGATTTCAACAACGGTTTAAAAGATGGAAATACCATGATCGAAACAGAAATAAAAAAAGGCCTCAACAGCTCTGAGCTGAAACTTTGTGAAACTCACAAGCGCATCGAGACAAGAGGGGAAAAAGGCAGAAAAGTTTCCTTGATTTTAACTGATAAAATGGAAAAGAATCTGAAGGTAGATATGAACCATTTGGAAATGTAAGATTTTTCAGTCCTGTGAAAACACACTGCCCAGAGATTATTCTTTCAAAATGATCAAGGGAACCATTTTGGGTAGTAACTAAAAGGTGAAAGACAATGTCAACAGAGAGAAAGGTCAAGGTCAGCATTCTAGACATTTTTAAACATAGTTATAGCAGGCATCAGCTTTTGAGGCATGATTTTCTCAACAGTATAAAATCTTTACAAAATCTTAATCATGAAATGCCTGCCAAGTGTCTCAAATGTGAAAGTATTCTTTGAAGTTGTGAAACATTGTTGTATCATTCAGTGCTTACTTAGCTTATACAGTGCTGATGCCCGTTGGGAGGAGAGCTATGATTTTTTCATTATTTCATTATGAAATTTTCATTACAAGTGTATAGCTCTTAAGTTTGGGATCTCACAATGAAAATGGTTCAGAATCAAGATTAAGCACAGTATTTGTTGACATATATCCTTTGTGTATGAACACTTGTATCAAATGTATAGCAATGATGTTATTTTTTCCCCAAAAGACCTGAACATGTATTCTTTGTAACTTCTGTTACCACTCTCAATATGCCCACAAGCACAAGTATGATGAAGGTTATGTACATGCATATGGACAGATATAAATCTACATTATCAGAAAAGGTTTTGCAGAAAACAAAGTACTGGTATGAGAAATGAATTTAAAGCACGGAGTTCAATATATACATCTTTACTGTGTTTATGGCATTACTGAACATCATTTTGTTTCTTACAGTTGCTGGTTGACATGCGCAGACAAATACATGTCGAAAATGACCACCTCTTCGCTAAACCCAGGAGCATCTTCCCAATCAGAGGGTGTGATGCACTGAGGGAAATGGCCAAAAAGAGTGGCGCCAAACAGCCCTCCAGAATCACATCCACCAAACTGCGCATGCAGCTTGCAACTCTGTCACAAGTACTTGGCCTCACCCCCAGCAACCAAGATCTCCTGGCTAAGTTTATGGGGCATGACATAAGAGTACATCGTAACATTTACCAGCTTCACGAGACTACACTGGAGCTCGCTAAAGTAACCAAAGTGCTCCATGCTTTGAACACTGGAAAGTTGTCTCTCCACGCAGGGAAAGACTTTGACTCGATGATGGCTGACCCTTCAGGTTAGTAGTTATATTCACGTCACTTTATCCCCAGTAATTATTGTCAGGTTTTGAGGCCATTTATGACATCAGCACATCAATATTATTTAATTTCTCTGGAATAGGTAACAAGTTACCCTCTGATTATATTTTCCAAAATATGTTGAAGGGACCAGATATGAGTGGAGATTAGATCTTATACTGGTACCCATTACCCAGGCCATGGCTTCTGAATGAAATCTGTGGGAACATGTACACTAAATACAATGAAAGATAGATATTGCTTTTTTTGGTCAGCTTTAGCAGGTTTATCTCTTCACCTGGGTGCACCATTCAAAAACATAATTTCATTTGTAAAGAAAGGCTGTTGATCTGCTGTGTCTCAAGTGTTTCTATTTCACTCTTTGAGGAAAGGATGCTTTGGGCTTTTTCTGTTATAATTTCAGGTAATGTCACATGTCCCAGGCAGGTGATAAAACATTGTCCTTCACCTAATTGCTTTTGAGAAAATGATTAAAGACGTGATTGTCTCTTACAGATGATTTGTTTGTGACTTATAAATGAGCACCTAACCATGCTTGCGTAATGTCTTTACAAGACCTGAATTTGATGTGATTATCAAAGCTTGATATCCTTTACTAAAGTGTGCATGATGATTACAAAAATGATTAAAAACGTGATTGTTTCTTGCTGATGATTTGTTGTGACATATCAATGATCACCTAACCAGGATAACTTGATGTATTTACAAGTGCTGAATTTGATGTGATTATCAAAGCCTGATATTGTTTTAACCGGAATCCTAACACACACTGCATATGGTTACATAAACACTAACCTTACATCTATGCATGATGATTACAAAAATGATTAAAGACGTGATTGTCTCTTGCTGATGGTTTGTTGTGACACATCAATGATCATCATGATAACTTCAGCCAATGCTGCTAATTAATGGAAAGTCATTGTGTAATTCCACAAACTGTTCATGCCTCTACCATTACAGTAACCCTTGGTCATAGTGTGTGAGTTATTACAAAACCAACCCTGTTGCTTTAAGAGAACCGTTGACCCAGGCTATGCCTGAGGCCCAGCTTAACAATATTTGATGAATGCTGTTGAGTGAACTGGAAATAAAAAGTGTTGAATTTGAACCACTGCATGTTGACTGTATATTGTTTATGTATCATTTGTTTGTATGATGCTTGAATTAGCTGTATTGATTATTCAGAAACAGTGAAATAAAGTGGAGATGAGGGATCTGCTTATATACTCCCCATCAAAAGTTTAGACTCACAAGTGTAAATGTACCCACTTAATTCAGTCAGCTGATCTAAGCTAGATTTTACAAAACATTCTACACAGTTTAAGGGTACTGTTTACACATGAACTGATGTATTGTAAAACAAATTCGTAACGTTGAAAAGTTTATTGTCATGAGTTCAATAAATGATGAAACTCCGTGAAAATTGGTGAATTCTTAACAAAACTTTACACCAAAACGCAGCTGTTCACATGCACGATATTTGCACATGCTTTTCATCAATTTGATGCATGATCCTCATACAATTTATCTGCATAAGGTTTGCAGTTGGTACCCCCAAGATAGTGGAGAAATTCATCTTCGATGTAACCACATGTATATACATAACATAGAGGAAGTGTTTTAGGTGAGTCTAAACTTTTGATGGGTAGTGTATTTGTGACATGCCCGATGAAAACATTTTAATTGCTGACCTTGTCTTAATCTTTCCCCTGAGATCATAGATCCACAGTGGTATCAGATAACAGTTTGTTTAATGTTGCAATCAATCTTTCAACAGAAACTTTGGAGTCCTTTTATAGTCTTAATTACGTTTGCTTTTAATTGTTTCCTTCCCTTGGTAGACACCTTAGAAGACGAAGAGGATAATGATGATGATGATAAGATGATGATGTTGAAGTGGAGGCTTCGATGTTGAAGATACAGACAGAAGAAGAAGCTCCAGATAGAGAGAGCAAACAGCAGAAGATGAATGAAGGTAAAACACACGGCAAAATCAGGGCATTGAAGAGAAATTTCTGGTATAAGGTATGCAAGTGTTGGTGTCACACATTATTATGTTTTACAAATTAAAACTATTATGCAGCAGAGAGAGTTCGTGTGACCCTGGCACAATCAGGCTGGTAAGGCTAATCATCTGCTCAGGGCGTTTGCCCCTCTACATGCAGCCCAAACAGCAAATGGGACTTCTCCCAGGAAGCACTGCCTAGTCGAACCCACGAAGAACTTTCTAGAGAATATAAAGACTCCCCAACACTGCAGCCTTCTGCATTACTCAGAGTGTCAGAAGGGCTGTGGTCCCGGTGGAGAACCCGGGCACTCTCCTGATCTGCACCAAGATATCAGGTGGTACCAAACTAAGGGCACCAAGAACGATGGGGAGTGTGATGACAGTGTACTTGGGATGCAAGCGAGACATTTCAAAGGGTAGGTGCGCATATTTAGCATGCATTTCCTGAATCTTGCCAATTACGTTGCTTTCAAAAGGGACAGAAAATTCGATGATATAAATATATTCATTGGCTTTATCAAAAAGGACAAGATCACGTTTGTTGGCAGGAATTCTTCTGAGGCTGTATATGGGCCTATTTCAAAGAAGTATAAAGCATATTTTTCCATGACGCCCTGGCCATGTTCAGGGTCGTACCATGGATGGACCTCAGAGTCAAAGCCACAGGCATGACGAAGACGATAGTAGAAACAACGAGCCATGCCATCATGTCGTTTCAGATATGCTTTTTGTGCCACGGAAGGGCATCCACTGACAAGGTGCTGGACCAGCTCTGAAAATTCATTGCAAATTCATTGACCTTTCATGTCAATATTTTCTTTAAGAATCACATTAAGGCGATTTTGAGTGGAAAGTGATTAGTATTGGGCAGCCTACTTCATCCAGGCATTATTATATTTATTATTATTAATACTATTATTCTTTTTCAGAATCGGCCAAATCTAAAAAAAAGAGGCGGAGGACCTCTCCCCGAACCTGGACCGAGAACGAGAAGAGGGCAGTAAACAGTCATATGTCCGAGTTCTTTGACAAGCAGAGAATTCTAGGAAAACTTGCCTGTGAGAATGTGATAAGAAAAGAAGCGGCCCTTAAAACCCGATCATGGCAACAAATTAAACATTTTGTCAGGAACAAGATTAAAAAGGTTGAAAAATATACCCCTGTACAAAAGTGTCCTAGATACTAAGACAGCTGGATTGATGTTCAAGATGTTTTGCATCTATAGAAATGTGTGTAGAAATTGATCTGGCTGATCCAAAAGTGTTAATGACCTAGATACTTAGACAGCCGAATTGATGTTCAAGATGTTTTGCATCTATAGAGATATTTGTACGACCCTGTACAAATTGATTTGGCTGATCCAAAAGTGTTAATGTCCTAGATATCAAACAGCTGGATTGATGTTCAAGATGTTTTGCATTTCTAGAGATGTTTGTATACCCCGGTAGAAATTGATTTGGCTGATCCAAAAGTGTTAATGTCCTAGATATCAAACAGCTGGATTGATGTTCAAGATGTTTTGCATCTATAGAGATGTTTCCTTTCCCCTGTACAAATTGATTTGGCTAATCCAAAAGTGTTAATGTCCTAGATATCAAACAGCTGGATTGATGTTCAAGATGTTTTCCATCTATAGAGATGTTTGTAGAAATTGATCTGGCTGATCCAAAAGTGTTAATGACCTAGATACTAAGACAGCTGGATTGCTGTTCAAGATGTTTTTCATCTATAGAGATGTTTCCTTTCCCCTGCAGAAATTGATCTGGCTGATCCAAAAGTGTTAATGACCTAGATACTAGGACAGCTGGATTGCTGTTCAAGATGTGTTTCATCTATAGAGATGTTTCCTTTCCCCTGTAGAAATGGATTTGGCTAATCCAAAAGTGATAATGTCCTAGATACTAAGACTGCTTGATTGATGTTCAAGATGTTTTGCATCTATAGAGATGTTTGTATACCCCTGTACAAATTGATTTGGCTAATCGTCATAATTGTGTGTGTGTGTGTGTGTGTGTGTGTGTGTGTGTTATACCAGTAGTTAATATAGATAAAGTTTGACGTTTTCTTTTGAACTCACAAACTCCCACAGCACCAATCAACCACTTGTAATAGGGCTGTCATAATAATTAAATGAGTACATTCATAAAGCCTGTTTAATACTGCTCTTAACATCATGGCGTGTCTGCTGAATGTTAAAGGAATGTTCAGGAGCGAAAGGTCGTAGACGCTGGCCATTTTGATCACCCTGCGAGCCAGTTACGACGCTCCCCCAACAGGAATCCTTAGCGAAGAGCTTGGAGCAAGCAGTCGTTTACGTCGACTACGTTGATGAAACCAACTAGAGAAAAGGACATCTCTATATGCCATTGGTGGTAAATAGAAATGTCTAGCACAAGCCTTGGAATTGTTGCTGTGGCGCCGATAAAAAGTATTGCTATAAAATATATTCACTGGTTTTAAGATTTGTCAAAAGACAAACACTTTAAACAGAACTAGTAATCCAGATATACAGTATTTATTCAGCGGTCATCATCAAACTACCTTCTCCTTCTCACAATTAACAGTGTCACACAAAAACAATACGTTTTGGAATTTTCAGCAAAACAAACTATTGACGTTTTTCACTAGTGATTGGGGTGTATACTACTGAACAACCTATTATTTTTTAAATATGTGTGCACACAAGTACGAACTTAAACGTTTCGGCGTGATGCATTCCAGGGTAATAACAGCACCGCCTTTCAACTCTCCATTCAGACACTATTTTCAAGATGGCATAAAATAACATCCATACGCAGATACATCTCGCAGAGAAACACATAATGATAGTAACTGTAACAACGTCCACCAGAGGAAATAGCCTCGGGACAAAATGATACCCGTGTCATTTGAAGAACAGCGTAAATCAATATAATCTTAGCAGTTGCTATAAGTCAGTCTGGAAGTTAAAAAACACACTATTGATCTTTTCCGACTTGTACCGAAAGCAAAACCGTTCTCAGAACGAAGATCGCTTCAGGAAATTTCCAAACTAGAGCAGCATTGTCCCACCAAGGGTTAAACTGAATTCTGCTGCAGATGAAACGAAATCCCCGACAAGCCAGCTTGTTCCTCAGTGACATAATTAGAGAATAACCAACGAGGTACGAGTGATTACGGGAAATATGCCCTCGTTGAAATAATGTTCACAGTGCCGAGCCGTAATCACTCGTACCTCGTTGGTTATTCTATTTATTACCCATAATGTAATTTAAAGGAAGAACCACGAAATACGAACCACCCGGAGACAGGACTTGTGACCTTAAACAGCTGATTCGTATTCATGCGCGTATTAAACCTAACTTCTCCAGCGGTAATAACATAACTACACTATGGAAATAGTACATCATAAAATCGCTTTAAAATACAACAAAATGATTATGCCTGGAATAATTAATTAACGTTTGTTAATATGATAAAATGATCTTTTAAATATATCATTGAACTTAATAAGAGCTAAACATTTATTCGATCAAGTCAGTGCGACGGAACATCGTTCATTCACGACTGACGTGTTTTCTAGTGACGGGTGACGGTGTAGTGTTGAAACACACTCTGGCAAAAACCTGTCATTTTTGGGAAAGTCAACGGTTAAAAGTTGGGAAATCTAAAAGACAACCATCCCACGAATACATCTAGAAAAAGTTTTCTGTCAAGAAACTCAACAAGTTTGAAGATTAAACAACATTTTGTTCTGTGGAAGGCGTGTTACGCTCTCGTCTTAGTAGAGTACAGCAGTTCCAAGAAGGATAACTCGAGTCGGAATCCGAGTCTATGAAATGTGTCAATCTCTGCATCGGCTACTGGGACCAACCTCTCGGATTGATTAGGAATGCATGGATATAAAAAGTCATCTTGAAGAAGAACATTTAGCACTGATTCCGGTAAAAAAGGAGCTGTTTTCTGGTTCGATGGCATGGACGCCGTGTCCGACTTACTTGTTACACTTTCAGATAACATCTTTAGTCGGTATCTTGCTGTTTCTATTTCCCCGAATTCAGTTTCAACAACAAACAGGTTTTTCGGAATTCAAGGGCTGTAAAATTCTTATCACTCTTCCTATTTGGTCACCGTCAACTTTAACTAGGTAAGTGACCTTGATCGGGGTTAGCCTAACGGCGGCCATGTTTGTTTACAAACAATGCAAACGATTGTTTAGGTGGGTTTTTTAAAGATTATATAATTTTAAAAGACTACTATTTATAACTAAGTTTTATTCCAAAATAATAACGTCTAATAAAAAGAATATTCATATTCTTTAACCTTAATGTTTTCTTTTTTTAGATCTCGGAATGTGTGATTACATTACATAATGTCAATTTATCAATGAATCGATGAAACTTTATGAATGAACGTAGTGTGTGAACGTAGTGTGTGAAAGTAGTTCCGGCATCCAATGAAAATGTACAAATATACGATCAACCAATCAACGTCGAGAATCACTAAATTGCACACTGTGCAAATATCAAAAAGATATTACACGGGATCTCCCCACCCGTATGGGTAATAATACATACGATATTTGGGGCCTAACTTCTATTAATGAATCTTGGTATTTCGTCTCAAATCAGTGTAAGTGACAAATCAATGGAGCCCTACAAATCAATGAAAATTAAGACCCAACTCCTCATAAAAAGCCAATTCATCGTCATTCAGAGAACAACATGTGTGTTTTCTGTGAAGGCATCAGTAGGCTTTCTCCTGCCACTTTAGGTCAACGTCATCGCAATTTGGATGTTTGTCCCTTGGATCTTGTTTACGACGACATCAACTGCGATGTTTGTGTCTTGGTTTGCTTCACATTTTTTCGTCCAAGTCTAAATCTAAATTTAGACTGTAAAAGTTTCTCATACATGAAGTTAAAGTTGCTTCGGAAACTCAATATTTTGAAGGTTAAAATAAATAGTTGAAATAGGTATTTCCAGACTTCGTCAGTCAACAATAGTGAGTGTAAGTGTACGTGATGTTGGTAATGAGTGTTGTCTATGTCAGCAGTTCCTTGCTAACATCACAGGGCAAACGTAGTTCCAGACAGACTTGGAATTGGATAAATAGCTACTGTTAAAAGATATCTGTTTGATTTAGTCTCAAACTCAAATAGAGGACTGGCGTATTGGGAAAGCAGAAAACAGCCACTGATTACAACATGGTCACAGACGTATTAATCACATGGGTATAATCACAGATATGTTAAACACACGTTTTTACTCAATGACAGTCACCTGTGTATTAGTCAGACGTGTTTGCTGCCCAAATGTAAGAACCAAAGGTTATTGATACAGCATGTACAAGCACAATGTATGAATCACACATGTATTAATCACACATGCATGAAGACCATTATGAGGGACGCACGCGAATTGATTACGCATGCACGAGGACAAATATAAGAATCACGAGTGTATCAAGTAACAATGCATAACTACTCTACTTGTGCTCTTCGTGAATGTAAGACAACCATCAATACGTCTGAAATAATACATCTTAATTTGCTGTAGCTGAAATCTCTCTATATAAATTAATTCTGTGATTATTTTTTTTCAGGCAAGTGATTTGTTTTGCCTAAAACACATGTGGTCTGCGATCAGAGATACAATGCCTTTGCAAATAAGACCTAGCTTTTCAGAAATGCTGCCTATCATTGTGTCGCTATCATTCTAGCAGTTCTGGTGTCCAGTCTATAAATTTACAATACACGTAAAAGAATATGTTTTTAAATCCTGAAACAAGACGTGCACTGAACAAAGTATATAATTATATCTTAATCAGACCCACCATGTGCTGTTCATTTAATTAATAGCTTCAATCCCTGCAAATTTCAAAGATCCATATCTTACGATAGGCTAGCGCATTCTTTACTTCAGTACTTAGAGGACATTTGTAACCACAAACATACATGATTCGTGTATTTACAAACCGCCGTTGTATAGCTGTTATATTGTCGAGTGCGGCTTTAAACAAGAAACAAACATATGCCTACAATATGTTTCATTCTTGATAGACTGTGCTAGACATAACCACTTTTAGGAAAATGAATTAATCATGTGTTTTCAGGGTTCATATTAAATTACCTGGCAACGGTGAAAGACTTACACATCACGCCGAACTCAGAATATCAAGATTACACAGTACGACTCCGACGAGTTGTATTTAAGAAATACAGTTCGCTCTACCACCAGGGCGAAAGTGTGCTTTATTACACTATACATGGTGGTAGAGCGAACTGTATTTCTTTTCTAAGATGCCAAATTTAATACTTTCTGAGGATAATTACGATTAATTTAAGGCAGAAAACAAACGACGGTGTCGGTGACCTAAATTACGAATCCTCGCACAGGGCTAACTGGTGAGCTGTTCTATTGATGTGTCTGTCCCCCTACATTAAGACGAACGTTACCAGAAAAAAAGAAATGATAACAGTTTGATGACGGTTTTCGTTCGGATTAAATATCTTCTCTGAATTATTTTAATTATATCTGTCATTAACGTAAACCATATGGGGCAATATGAACGTCGCATTTCTACTACCAACGTAAGTTTAGATCAGTACATCCAAATGAAGCTGAGTAGTCAAGCGACATTCCACGATTGCATTGTGGGAATGTAAACATTGCGAACATTACCGTGTCGCTGAAAACTTGTGAGTCGAATTGACACATTTTAACCGTCGTAAAACATAAACGTAATGTTTCCACAAGTGGTGTTAGCTGCGTGAAGCAACTGCAAACCAAGAAACGGGATGCAA